TTTGGTGCATTTAAAAAATAATAATAATTCAATTGCATAATTGGTGTTATATAAAGTTTATAAAAAATTAACATGTGTAAAAAAAATCAATAATTAGTAAACGGAAAATGTAATGGTTCCTTTATTATTTACCTTTTCTGAAACTATAGTTAATGAATTAAATATGCTTTATCTAGTTATGGGGTCGGTAACAGTGACTATCTAAATTTCATATTAAGAAAAGAAAAAAAAACAGCTCTATCTAGTACGATCGATCAGCTGTATTGCTTGTTTATCGAATTAAAATTTTATTTTTTTTGTCAAAATGTCGATTGTTTATCGAATTATTAATTTCATATGCATAATTCGAATAAAGTATGTGTGTTTTATACACGCTTACATTACTACTACCGACAAAAAATGTGAACAAAGTATATCCATCAGTGTAAGACAGCCTTTTATCATTTTAAATTTGCTCTAACAAGCGACCAATATAACAAACTTAATATCTTCTGGATTTGATAAATCATGAAAATTAGTTGTTCATTGTACACCCTATCATATTATTTTATGTTCAGAATTCAGATCCAGAACACTACTACTAACTACTAAGTAAATTTGCAATGAATGAACAAAGAGATTATTTGACACATATTTATAATTTTACAACAAAAAGGGAAATTTACAACATATTTATTAGGATAATGATTAGGAAACTGTAATTTTGCTGTTACCATAAACCCATCACAAAAGCAACAATCGCAATTATTTTTTATGGTATATCACTAAAAGACCATTTTGATAATACAGTGAACTAAAGATGATTGAAAGAGTATTTAATTTTGTTTGTCTAATGGATTAAGTATTATCTACCTAAATCATTGACTTTTGGGAATGAACTCGAAAGGTTCCTTATCAGTGGCCAGCTTGTGTACCAGTCTCCTTATTATTTTTCGTTATTTAAAATTTCCCAATCAGTGTCCATGTGGCGTCTTCTCTATTTCGTGAATAGAAGACTTGTTTCTAAAAATAAAGCTGTTTTCTATATAAATAAGTGAGAACTAGCCGTTGGAATTTGATAAATTTAACTAATCATATGATTTATTGTCGTCCACCATTATATGATAATTTTAATATTATCGTCAATGTATTAATTATTATTTTTTTGGAAAACAATGGGTATCACCAAAATTGACAGTTACATTGGGATATGGACATTCCACCAAATGTATAATTCTAACATCTTTGTTACACAAAAAACAAATAGCTCTAGCACTTATGAAACTTTCTCTTCTCGTCGGTCCAATTTGTTTTTGGTATTTGCATTTTACCAAGTGAAAAAAATATACACGTGAACAAACCTTATCATCAGATAACTAATGTTTTTTTTGTAGTTAGACAGTAAATTATTTGCCATATATAGAAAAACAAACTTTGAAACCATATTTTAAAAGTAGAAGTAGCTCTGAAATCACCCCACCTCTCCATTTGGAATCGAAGTAAACACCGGACCTAACGTGACAAGACTTAATTTATTTTTGATTATTTTACATTTTATAAACCAATACAAATTGGGGGTAAAAAAAAAAAGTAGAACCGAAAATCCCATTTTGGCATTATCTGTAAATGCCAGTGGGTCATGGCAACAAGGTCAGGGTCGTTAGCGTTTAAAGATATATACAGATAAAGCCAGAGATTTTGGTAACGACCCGACATTTATGTCTTGTCCTTTTGTTAGGACATGGCAACGGTAGAAAATCCCTCCCTATATTGGCTAACACCTAAACCTCACTCTCATAAATAACCCATACTATTTCATCCAGTGAATTTAATTTTTATAAATGGTTTATATATAGGTTGGGTTGGTCCACACATATATCCCTGATAATTAAATATTTTTCGCCTCTATTCACTCACAACACACTTTTCTTTAGATTGTTTGTACATTTTTTTCAAAAAGGAACATTTCTTCAAAGGGAGAAAAGAAATTAGAGCTAAATAAGTAGATGGTCATTTAACTACTAACACGGTGAGAAAAAATGTTGTATTCAATATGCTTAGAGCATGAGAGTTTTTAATGCAATTGAGTTGAAACAAGAACTAAAAATAACTCTAAAGCAAAATCCGAAAAAACATTTGAAATGAAGATCATTACTTCATTAGTCCTTTCCTCTGATTATATTTCGGTGAATGTTTAAGAAAAAAGTTTGTTTTCTGTACTGAATTTTGAGTAATGGGTTTAGGCGTTTAGGAGTCAATTTCATATACTTACCTCAAAATCTCATAAAAACTATTAAGTAACACAATTCTGACTTTCTACGAGACAGGTTCTATATAAGCTTGCTTTATGTTTCTTTCAAAACATCATATAGTCTTTGAAATGTCCAAATCTAAAACTCTCAACCAACCAGATGTTGATCTAAGGTAATTAATACTATATATAGCTTCTTTACACCATTTGGACAGAAGATAAATCTGTTCTTAGTAATGGCTCATAGTATCTTCTTTAATGCTAGGATTATAGATTGTTACCTCAAGGCTCAATGCTAGGATTCTGAATCAGATAGCGAGCGTTCTGTAAGACCGAAGTAGTCTCTTCGTTTGATGCATCAAGCAAACGTAATTCCTTGATCTCCTCCTGCCATTTCTCAACATGTTCCTTGTGTATCCTGTGTTCATATTTGCAAATGGTGATACTCATGTGACTGTATAAACATCTCAATCATAGTACACACATAAACATTATAGTGTCTATTCAATCTCACATGATCAAGCGTTCTTCGAATTCGTTACTGAGTTCCTTAAACATTGTCTTCCCTGACTCTAGCAAGTTAGAAACCTATACAATACGCACAATTCCATATCAAATTCGTCCTTAACTTATGAGTTTATTGCAGGGAAATTTATCCATCACAGCTTACAGTTTGCGTAAAGCTCTCAATCTTATCGAGAATTTGAGCAATGTTAAGTTCCATCTCATCAGAAGCAAGAAGTTTCGTCTCAGTTTCTTCATTCTCAATGTTATCAATGCTCATTTCATCTTTCGAATCTCCTTTTTCTTCTTCCTCCTATCAAAATTTCCAGACCAAAAACTAAGAATCTGATTCACCACCACAAATGAAATTTTTTTTCAAAAAAAACCGTAAGAAACATACAGATGGCTTCATGCGTTTCCGAAATCCTCCGTTTCCTGCGTCTTCTTCCATTTCCAGTGATTATCTAACCTGCAAAATTTCGAAACGATTCTCATGAAATTCGAAATTTCGAGTTTGTATACGCAAAAAAAATGTGTCGATTACATCACGAACAGATTCCGATTAGGATTTTCGACTCGAATCAACTACCTAAAGCATCGCAATAGATTTTCGATTCCAAATCTGAGAAACTGTACGATTACATCTCGAACAATCTAACTGCAGATTTCTTCAATAGAACGAGAGTAAACTAAATCGAAATCAACAAAAACTAATAGAGAAAACTTACGGTTAGAAACGAGATCCACACGATGAAGATCGAAGAACTGCTCAGAAGGAATTTGAGAGAAGGAGATGAAGAGAGAGTGGTGAAGTGTGGAGAGACTGGGAAGCAGAAAGCGAAGAACGAATATATATTCCAAAAAAATATCTTTAAAATAAGAGTTTATATTTCTAAGAATATTATAAAGGGATATGAATTTATGCGATTCGAAAATAAATAAAATTGGGCCGAGTTTTTGTGTTTTTTTCCGATTTTTTTTAGAACCAAAGATAAAAGAACAAAATGTATTTGAATGCCTCGAGTTTACAATGATTTTCAAAAATTAATCCATACATGAACCAATAAATGAACAAAATACACTTAAACAATGTTATTAAGGATTCATTGATTCAAGTGAGAATGCAATTTAGGGTCAAGAATGATTTGGAAAAGATTTGATATTAAGCGGAATAATCACTACATAATAGTACCATTTATGTAACACTTAAAAACAGACATACAAAATAGAGATTCACCTAAACAAAATATATAATCGTTTGCTTCTAGCTCCGGTTAAAACTCCGGGACAACAACAAAAAACAATACACCGGAGATCTGATAAAGATATATATATGCAAGAAAAAGAGACTATCTTAAAACTAGCTAAAACTTAAAAGAGTTTGAGCAACTTCAATATCAATTCTTCTTCTTCTAGCTCTGTGTTGTTGTTCACTGCAACAGAAGAGTTCAAGACTTGTTATAATCATTCCCCGACCTTTTAAAAGAAAGCGGAACCAATA